CATACAGTTCAGTGTTTTCCCTTATATTCCATGCCGATGAAGCAGCAGTTGTTTGGTATTTAGTAGAAAATAAAAAGTTTGTGCAGTTTTGATGGTGACAGCTTTAAGAATAACATGGGAAGTAGTTTATTAAAGTAAAAGATGACTTCCTTTTTGCTTTTTAAAGATGACTTCTTATTAAATAGTCAATACGAACACTAAAATACCATGGTCCCAAAAAAGTTTTAACTATTCTAACATTCTCCCCGCACCATCTACTATAGTAGACAACAGCCCCATGTGCTTACTGAAAACTTGAAATAAGGCTTGTGCAACTGAGAAACTGTTTTTTTTTTATAATATTAATATACATAAAAGTAAACAGCTATGTGAGAGTGCTGGGTAGTGTATTGTTCAGCAGAGCTTCAAGGTTATATGGTGTTATATATAGCACAGGCCATGTTTAATGGTAGTTAAATGTTGGCTAATTGAAAAGGTCAGAGCTGTATGAGGCAAAAGAGGAAAAGGATCTTCGCTAGGAAAATGCCCTATTCAAGCCTAGAATTTGAAAACTACATATGAATCCGTGTTTAGAATGGATGTGGAGTGTTTAGTTTGACTATGATTCTAGACTTAACTAATGGTATGGACTTTGAATCCAGTATCGGAATGAGTGGGAAGACTGATAAGACTCAGAAGTAGGAGAAAGGCATTGAGAACCCTGATAACTTTGTGATTTTTCCCCAGTTGTCCTGAAAATATTTGTGAAAGATTTCAGAGAGAAAAAATAGTTCAAGAATTCCTGGAGTTTATTATAGTAGAATAGCAGTCTGTCTGAAAATTGTTTTTTGTGGAAGACCTATAGCTTTAGTTTCTTGAGATTAGATTATTTCCTGGTGTGTTAGTGAAATTCCTTCCACAGCTCCATAGTTGGTTCTAAATTTTCAAATCTGTTGGTGAAAATACAATGGAGTTAGTTGCCTAAATTAATATTTTATTCCCCATATAGGTTGTCAGGCTAGCTATAAGAATCAGTTCATCTCTTATATTTGCTGATACCTTGCTGAGAAAATATCTCTGTGAGAAGTATCAATTCATGGTTCTATTTAACACTCAGCTGTAAATGAATATGTGGCAGATGATCTCTCAGGAGAATGATTCTGAAATTGGAGGTGAGGTAACAGAAGAAAGGTGACTTCAAATCCTCTCGTTGCATCTAAGATGTTAGTCACTGTAGGCATGTGTCGTGCATAACTTCAAATAGAGAAAAGTCTGGGGCAGCCCGGGTGGCTCAGCGGTTTAGCGCCACCTTCAGCCCAGGGCCTGATCCTGGAGACGAGTCCCACGTCGGGCTCCCTGCGTGGAGACTGCTTCTGACTCTCTCTCTCTCTCTCTCTCTGTCTCTTATGAATAAATAAATAAAATATTTTTTAAAAAGTAGAGAAAAGTCATAGTCCTTTTTTAGTTCCTCATGGCTCTAAGAATTTGTTGCTCTATGTTCATAATCTTTACATGCTATCTCGCCTCAACAAAACGAGATGACTCAGTTTTACAAAACTTAGTCGACTTTGATCCCATCAGTTGCTGAAGAAAGAGGCAAAAGTACTTTAAAATGTTGAAATTGAAAAAAGAGAGAAAAGAAAAGAAATAAAATGTTGAAATTGAGATAAGTCAATAATTATGACTCCTATTTATTGATGTAAGTTTTCTTCATTTTTAACCTTCTTTTAACCATTATTTTTTTAACCTTTTTTAAAACCATCTTTCTGATAGCATACCTCCTTAACACAGACTCATACCTCCCTGCGTGTGTGTGCGTGTGTGCTTGTATTTATTTTTACATGTATCCTGTTATTAGTTTACTAATCAAAAAGCAATTCAGACTTTGAAAAGTAAACTTTGTGGCTTATTTTTTAAGCTCATTTATTTTATTCTAATCAAAGAAAAATATAAGCCATTTATTTTCAGTGTGCTTGGTTGCTATTATCTTGACTATAATTGCCTACTTTCCTTTCTGGCTGATCTATTGCTAGCCTTTATCTGGATGTTATTAAAGCATGTGAATACTCCATAGAGCACTGTAGTCTCAGCCAGAATATTTTCAGGTTCTCAGCTAAAATGAAACAGAATTAGCGCTTTGGTGTTAAGTAAGTACTCAGATTTGTTGTGGAAATGTACAAGGGATTCTAAATTCACTGTTAGTTCCTGAGATGTAGCATTTGAAAAATAGCTTCAGCTGTTTATGGATTATGGTCCTTGGGCACCAGATAGTGGATGTTGGAATGTATTGCAGAAAAGCTGATTAAAGTACTAGAGTCTCTAACGGTAAAAGTAGAAAGTCATTTGTAATACCTGTGCCTGACTCTGTCAGATGCACTTATATGTTTCCTTTAGAAAGCTTTGGTTCATTATCATCTTACCTATGCAGGAATAACATTTTTGTAAAAATGTGCCTTTTGGAGAAAACATCAATAAGCTATACTTGATGAGAAGTGTATGTGGGTGGACTGAACTTTGAAGATCCCCAGTATTTTGCAGTTTTATTTTCTAGCTTATTAGAGTACTGTTTCACCATGACTCAGGTTTCAGTAGTAGGTACTTCAGTTGCCAATTTTCATGTGTTGTGACTGTTAACCAGGGAATTTATACTTATCTCAAAATATAAACTATGTCAGAATTCATTGTCTCTCTCCACCCACTAGCTCTTGGGCCTCTTTTCTCCTCAACAACAGTCCACAGAAATAGAGTATAATTACAAAACTTACAGGTCTTTAAATATACTTTGCAATCCTCTTGTTAAGATATCGCAATTATTTCCTCATTGGTTTTGAAATAAAGTTTAAACTTAGAGAGCCATCCGTGAGCTGTTTCTTTTCTGTCTCACACTTGCTTACCTATTCCCCTGCAGTGTAGGTGGTTTCAGGTGTACAGATCTACTGTTTCTCTCCTTGTTTCTTTTACTTTGGTTGCTTGCTTCTCCTTCACCCTTTTTCACCTGAGCATCATCTCTCTTCTTCCTTCAGAATTCTGTGTACGTTTCCCCTCTTCCAGGAAACCTCCATTGAAACACAATTACCCTGTCTCTTACTAATCTCAGTTAGACTAGGCTTTAAGCTCTATAGCATTTCATAAGATTCTTTTCATACTCTACCAGAATCATGTGTTTGCCTGTCTCACTTAGTAGATGACTATTGCTTGAGTTCAGAGATGATAGTAGTGTCTTTTGTGGCTTTGAATTTGGCATAGAGACCTTTCCAATAAACGCTTGTTGATTGACTGAATGACTTCTACAGATAATTTCACTTATTTTCCTCCTGAGTCTCAAGCCACCTGAGAATATGGGTTATGCCATTTTCCTCACAAGGAGCTTTTTAAATTGACTCACTGACTCCCATATTGCCACCTAAAATGTGTAGTAAAGGTAGGTCTTTGGCTCTGGGAAGACAAGAATCTTATTGGCTAAAACTCTCAGTCAGTTAAAGAATGTGGAATACAGTGTTTAGGAAATTGGAAAGACCAACTCCATGATCATGAATAATGCATTCTAGCTTATCCATGTATATTGTTGAATCTATGACTTTAGTGGCATATAAAATTCCCTTAGGAGAGAATAGATATTTAATAACTTTTTCCTTATTTGAAAAAAAACTGTTTACAGTTTCTAGATTTTAATATAATATTAATCCAAGAAGCAAAACACAGTTTAAAAGAATATTTGCTAATGATGGGTTATAGAATTTAAATATGTGCTTGGTTGTCCTTAGGTGTCTTTATAGTATTTATTTACATCAGTATTCTGCATTCTGTAACAAAATAGAAACAAAATGCAAAGAAGTATATATTTATAAATGATAAGATTTTTAAAATAATTTGAGCTTATTTCTTAATAGAATAATATTTTCAGTTAATCTAACATTTTATTTCTTCTTATGTGTATGCTTAATATTTGGTTTCATGTAATTATTGGCTTAGACATTTTGTACAATTATTTCTTTAATGGTATAGCAAACTGAGTCAGCATATTAGAGCTGAATCATAGTCCTGGCTGTTCTTTTTATTTATTGAATGAACAAACTCTGTGTTAAAATTCCTTGTCCTTCAGTTGAGCTTGCAAATGAAGCTTATTTGTTATATCTTGAATACTCTAAGGAATTTGAATCAAAGGTTTTAAATTATATACCTCATTTCAGTCTGTGATGTTTTAAAGAATAGAAGGGAGAAAAATTATCCACATCTCAATAGTTGGCTATCTACTATTCTCAGTGACCCCAGCCTCCTTTTTAAAAATAATTTTAAGGTTTCTTGTTTGTTAAAATTTGGTATTGAATTTGTACAAAGTGTGAAGACTGCAGCATGTTAGAATATTATTGTCATTTAAGAACGTATTCACTGTTTTGGTTTTTGGAGCGCTGCCTCCAAGAGGTTCATAGCATTTGGTACGGAGTTCACGTATTTCTAGTCTACAGACCTACCCTATTGAGGCAAAAGCTTCATGATGCTGATATATTTTTTCCTACTGCTATAATGCTCAGCGACAGTAATTAATTTTTTTTTGAAAAAACTTTCCATGTCATTACAGATAAAACTGAGTTTTTTTGAAGACTAGTAATTTGTACCTTTAAAGAGCCACATTATTTTGCTTTTGTCTCAGAATGTATTATGCTTTACAAGTATACTGTGACAGCCTGAATAGGAAAGGGGGGAGGGGACATTGTCTTCAGCTGGCATGCTGTTATCAGAGGGAATGTGTTTCTGGACACGAGATTTAGCATTCATTGGTTGTCTGAAGAAAGCTATTTCATCTGAGGATTGGACAAGAAGCTGCGTCAATTTGCTGCCCGTCTCCAAGGCACTGGTGATGCTGCCTTCACAAGCTGGCTAACGTCACGGCTCCATCACCCAGCGGGGTGTGGACTCTCTTTTTCTGTTCTTCTCTATTTAATTCTGTATTTGCTGCCTACTGCATTTCTTAATCTGTCTTCTGCCAAATGCTAACAGCATGATATTTTGCAATCATCTAGGTGAATACAAGAAAGACGAACTCCTAGAAGCTGCTAGGTAAGTGATTCCATTCATTTTAAGTGAGTATAATGCATATAAGGGGAAAAAGGGGGAGGGCAGGTGGAGGACTATAAAAATTATAACATGTTATTGTCTTGCTTGGATTTTACATGTTAATGCGGATAAGACCTTTTACTCCATCTCTGTATACTTTATTTTATATGATGGGTGTGTTAAATGATAGAGTTTTTCAACATGGCAAAGATTTGTAAGGTTAATTTTATTTGAAACATTTCTTAGGGTACCTGCAGACCTTAGTTGGCCAGTGTTTCGGATAATCTTCTTGGAGTATTTAAATACCTATCTCTTCATTTTTCTCTGAAAATTTTTCTAGCAAAGCTTGAATGAGGGGCATAAAGTAAATGTTAAAATTCTCATCCATTTTCTTTTGTTCTTGGTCATTTATAATTTAATTAATTAGCTTTTTTCATCATTTTGTGTTTTTAAGTCCAGTGTTTTAGATCACTTATCAGAATAAAGTTTGTTTGTAATTAAGAAGGTGACTTGATGCAGATAAATAAAACAATAATGTAGAAAGCTATATTACCCAAGATGTACCACTGTATGAAGATTAACAGGAATTAATTAGGAATATTTTAATTTAATATACCAAAAGGGATTCATTGAGAACCGTATAGAAGACATCAAAGCAAACCCATATTATTTTCCACTCTTCTGAAAAATAACCATAAATATTCATAAGAAGCTCTATAATTTTATAGGAATTGACTTACTACCTTTTTACAGGAGTGGTAATGAAGAAAAACTAATGGCTTTACTGACTCCTCTAAATGTGAATTGCCATGCAAGTGATGGGCGAAAGGTAAGTTACCTAAAATATTATATCCTCCATCAACGATTTCTTCTTGCTTTATACTGAAAAATTTTGAAGTTGGCATTACATATATGTATATATACATTCATATATGTCCTATATAACTGTTTATTTTTACTGGTATCTTTTGACCATAAAACGAAATGCTGCTGTATCTGTTATTGGCAGTTGTGACATATTCATAGAACTGGTGAAGCATGGATTTTAAGCATTTTCTCTTAAATGTCAGACACTGAAAGTTGTTTGTTAAATGGAACTGCAGCTCTATTGGTAATTAAAACTATAACAACATATCTTATTTTCTATGTATGATTATGGAAATTGGAAATATTTGTTTATGTCCTATTTTTGCCCGTCTTTGTTAGGATATTTGCATTTTTGATTTGCTGTTTGGCAGAGGAAGATTTGTTTGCTAGATACCAACACTTTTTTCCATTTAGAGATCAGAAAATGCTAACAATTTTTTAAACCTATAACAGTCCTGCTTTTTTATTGTTTTTTTTTAATTGGCTAAGTTTTTATCATGGTATGTTGAAAAAAATAGACTAAAGATAGAGAAATAGTGTATTAATTAATAATTGTTGTAAATTTAAATGTATATATATAAAATGTACAGTTGGCATCTTCACTTTATGCTTTGTATTCTTGGTGACTATAGGCTGAAATGTAACCCTTCACAGCCTCTGTTAATTGACTGCAAAGTTTTGCAGTGATTTACCTAATATGTAATGAAAAACAAGGCACTCTGTACTGTAAACTCTTTTTAAAATGACATCATATTTTAATATTTAAGGATAGATTTTGTATTTTAAAAACATAAAATGTTTGTAAAGTTACACTGTAAATATTGAGGAAAATCATTTTGTGCCTAATATTTAAAGAATTAGTTTCTTTGAAATTCCTTATAGTGAAAAATGTGCTATGGAAAATGTCAGGATGGATGGTACACCCCTTAGATACAATGTCTTTATAGTACCTCCAGCTTTTTGTTTTCCATTCCAATGAAATCCATGTAATAGTGGCAAAGAATTGAATCCTCCCCTCAGAATATATGTTATATGTTATTATAGCTGCCTTGTATGTTATTTCACGTGGCCTAGTGAGCATTCAGTTTCTCTGAATAATTTAGGGGTAAGAATTCTACTTTAATGGAAGGTTAAAGTATGTATATTTCAAGCTACAAAGTAGCTTTAGATTTACTCAGTATTAAAGATTTACTCAGTATTATTAATGCCTTTTGGGAGATGTTTTTAAATGATAACTGCTCATTTTTTTCCTTCAAATTTGAAGTTGCCTTGAGGATTTTAATGTTCTTGAGTTACTTTGAGCTCCAGATTTTGTTTGGATCTTCTCAGTAGATAGAGTGACTTTTACACAGTGCAGAAAAGGGTCTTCTTAACTATGGTAAGTGTAGCTATGTCTTTATATAGAGCTTGTTTAGAGCATAGCCTACTTCAGGTTTCCTTGTCATTTTAATATTACAGAATTTGTGTGGGATTATGGTAGCAGGAGTCCATTTCCATCCCAGCCTCATTCTCCCATATTCACCCTTATACCTGCCAACCTCATTTGTAGCTCAGGAAATCATAATAATTAAGGAGTACGAACACTGATAATTAACAAATTACCTCTTCTCCCTGCCTCACCCCCTACATAACTATAGAGAACTCCTTTATTTTTTCTTCTCCCCAGAGGAGGATATACTTTCTTCATTTCTTTAGCTGGAACCAATGTATTCCTTACCCAAATCCCTATGGCTCCCTCTCTGTATTACTCTATGACATTTACCACAGAGATTTTTCCTCTACTCATCCATTAGCTCTTTGTATTTTGCACTGGACCAAGCCCGGCACCTTGCAGGTAGCAGATTCTTAGGATATGAATATGCTCGCTAACAAATATAATTTTATCCTCTGAGTGAAAAATTCTCCATGCTCTTTGCCATTTAGTAAATTAACTCAGAAGTATGTGAATAGGAGATTTTACATTTTCTGTTATTATATTATTGCTAGTATTATTTTACTAATTTATTTTTGAGTTACTATATAATGAAGGAGAAATACATATTTTCACGTACAGAACATTTTTAAGAACGTGTTTCATAAATTAATATTATACTGTAGGATTCATATCATATGAATAATGCAGTAATTCTCCAAAATATGCTCCTGTACTTTTTTAGATTATTAATTTGCTCAAATTAGGTAGAAAATGAGACTTAAGCATTTATTAGGTTTTGGTGCGATGCATATAACATAAAAAATCTTTTACAATTGTGCATCAGTATACAAAATGCATATAAAATTTCATAATTAAAATTGAATTGTGTTCATACTTAGATATTACCTTTGTTTATGGTACAGAGTAGTTCTTATTAAATGTGCCAGCTACAGTAAAGCCGCAAAGTAGTAAAAATTCTGGGTGCTAATGCAGATTGGGATAAGATCCCTTAGTTATGACAGTATTTTTTGTTTTCTTGCTATTGGTGTCAAGAAAAAGTGTAAGCAAATCTAGCTGTGAAATTACAAGTCTATCTTATGTATTTAGTATTTTTTCAGGCCATTTGCATGTGTTTATCCAGAATTAGGAAGTCAAATTGTATATTAACAAGAGGATAAAGGTACTTTACATATATAGTAAGTCAGGTATATAGTTTTATTTCTTAAATTTGTGTTTTAGAACACAGTGCAGAATCAAACTTATTTTTAGAGGGTTTCTAAAATGACTGTATTAATGCTTAAGTGAGTCCTTGCCTGTCTCTGTTTTTACTGTGATTCCGGTTTGTAAATTTCAAAAGCCCATGGAAATGTCAATTTCATAATGTTTTTAGAAAAGAGATGTTCCTTATTCCTTAACTCGTAGGTGCAGAATTTGCCTTTAAATATGTGGGGGTTTTAAATGCAGCAATCTTTTCAATACAATACGTGGGATTATACAATGACAGTATAACTTTTAAATAGTCTCTTAATTCTATACCATGACTTGGTGATTATCTAATTAGGTAATATATGAGTGGTTAATGCTTTTATTCCCACAGACATTTGTTTTTCTAACCTGTAGAATTCTGAAAATAGTGAAGTACTAATAAGGTTTTAAATCATTTATGTTTTTTTGCTTTTTATTTTACATGAAAATCAAAGTGGAGCTTGGCTACTCGAGGAATTTCCAGTTGTTTTTTTACCCGCCCCCCCCAAAGCAAAGACAAAATTTTGTTAAAACATTTTGTTCTAAAATACACTTTTGTATACTTATATACACATTAAATGATGGCCACTTAGAAACATAGGACCATAGATATAATTTATTCTTTAGTCTCCTGCCCATTATGATTAGATACAACATTCTGTGATTCCTTCTTTTGAATTGCAGTGAAATGCAACTAGATCTTTCATACAGATTGTTCTCTTTCTAGAATTCTTTTTTTTCCTGTTTTCACACTTAGATTTGTTGTCCTTTATTCTCCCTTTATGGTATTTTCTGTTAAGATCAGATATTTTATTAGCAATCGGCCAAATAATTGTTTGATATGTAACTTTAAGGTGGTAGTGGTCTCTTGTTTTTCAATATTAATTTTAAAGATTCCTTTATACAATGAATAAAAAAATATTTGAATACATCTCAAATTATTCCAATATTCAACCCTCTTCAGAGTTCTTTTTGGTCCCTTATTGTGTCGTTTCCCTTTCTTGGCTGCCTTTATCCCCTTCCAAAATAAATGTCCTACGTCTCTCCCCTCCTTATAATTAGGGAATCGGTTGGAGTTGGGCATTACTGTATATATTCCTAAATAGGATTCCGTATTCCGTGTAATTTCTGGTATTCTGGGTTTCTTTCTGCTCCTCTCATTTATTCAGCCAGCACTCAGTTACAATGTGTAGGTCACAGTGCTAAGTGTCATGAGAGATAAATATGTTTAATGGTTCACAAGGAGCTCAACAACTGATAAAACTATTAAAACATCCAGTACTTTGAAATTAATGCTCTAAAAAATGTATGATTCCTATTGCAGTGATACAGTTCTCAAGTGTAGATTTAAAGTGGGATTTTTTTGGCTTCTTGATTTTAAAGCATTAATATTTAGACATGGATGCTCTTCTCTAAGAAACCACAAATTTAGGTGAATAGGCAGTCAGAGAAGCCTGATTTAACTCAGAAACGTTAACTAAAGGACATCTTTAAATGTCAGATTGCTGTGTAAATGTTTGCTTCCATAAAACAGTTAATAATGAGTAAGATTCTGGAAACAGAAGTGTTTGAAAACTATTTTTTAATAGAGATCAGAAATAAGGTAGAGTTTAGTGCCATCCCTTGAAGAAACCCATAAAAGAATTATTTAGTTGAAAAAGCATATAGACTCTGAGATTAGACAGATTGGGTTCTTTTCTCTCCTGTTCCACTTTCTAAGTGTGTAACCATGGCTCTACAGTTTTCAATGTATTCATTTGTAAATGGAGATAATCATACTTATTCCACAAGGTATTTGAGAGGATAAAGTGAAATAATGTGATTAATGTATACCATTATAGCACATAGTAGAACCTCAAAGTTAGACCCCTACTCCTTTGATAAATTTTTTTGAAGCTTTTGGACATATTTAGGATGGACACATATATAGTTTTGAGTATTCAAACATTCCCACTTAACCATGGAAATGGTCTTTATTATCCAAGCTCAGTCATAGATGTCATTTGGATAAAATGAATGTTACCAAATAGTCTACAAAGCATATAATTGAATTAATTCTTTTGGAGCATGGTCTTCACACCTCCTAAAACATCACATTTAGTAAATAAATTTGTTTATAGTAACAGTTTATAAATTCAGAAATGTGTTTTTTAGATCTATTTACCATTTTAAGCCTATATTTATTAAAAATTAATATCTGGCTGAAAATAATGCCATAGTATTCATTTGAATTCCATAAACGCATCCAATGAAGCACAGAGAACATATAAGATTAGTGAACTTTCTTTTATATTTATATTTGA